TGCAATCAGGCAAGGCAAACAAGGGTATCCATATAGGGTCAGAGGAGATCAAACTTTCACTCTTTGCAGATGATATGATTGTATACCTGGAAAACCCCAGGGACTCAACCACAAAACTCTTTTAAGTGATCAAGGAATACAGCAGCATCTCAGGATACAAAATCAATACTCAGGAATCAGGAGCATTTATATACACCAACAATAGTCAAGCTGAAAAAACAGTCAAGGTATCTATTCCTTTTACAGCAGTGCCAAAGAAGGTGAAAAATCTGGGAGTGTATCTAACAAAGGACGTGAAAGATCTCTATAAAGAGAACTATGAAACTCTGAGAAAAGAAATAGCTGAGGATGTTAACTAATGGAAAAACATACCATGCTCATGGCTGGGAAGAATCAACATTGTCAAAATGTTCATACTGTCCAATGCAATATACAGATTGAATGCAATCACTATTAAAGCACCTCTTGTCATACTTTAAAGATCTGGAAAAATGAGTACTTCATTTTATATGGAAACAGAAAAAAACTCAAATAGCCAAAACATTACTCAGAAATAAAAACAAATCAGGAGTAATCACGTTATCAGACTTCAGACTGTACTATAAATCTATAGTGATCAAAACAGCATAGTACTAGCACAAAAACAGAGAGGTAGAAGTATGGAACGTAACTGAGAACCAAGAGATGAACTCAGGCACTTATCATCATTTGATCTTTGATAAGCATATCAAAAATATAAATTAGGGGAAAGATTCCCCATTTAACAAATGGTGCTAGGTGAATTGGCTGGTGACTTGTAGAAGACTGAAACTGAGCCCACACCTTTCACCTCTGACAAAAATTGACTTTCACTGGACAAAAGACTTAAACTTAAGACATGAAACTATAAAGATTCTTGGAAAGAGTGCAGGGGAAACACGTGAAGAAACTGGCCTGGGAGAATACTTTATGAGGAGGACCCCCACCCCCACCCCAGGCAATTGAAGCAACACCAAAATACATTACTGGGATCTGATCAAACTAAAAACCTTCTGCACTGCCAAGAACACAGTAAGTAAAGCAAGTAGAAAGACCTCAGAATGGGAGAGGATATTTGCAGGTTATGTTTCTGACAAAGATCTGAGAAACAGAATCCACAGAGAACTCAACCTTATTAATAAGAAAAGAACAAGTGATCCCATTTCATTGTGGGCAAGAAACTTGAATAAAAGCTTCTCTGAAGTAGATAGGCGCATGGTCTATAGACACATGAAAAAATGCTCAATTTAACCATGAGAGAAATGCAAATCAAAACCACTCTGAGGTATCATCTAACTCCAGTAAGAGTATCCCACATAACAAAATCCCAGGGTGACGCCTGTAGCTCAGTCAGTACGGGCACCGACCACATACACCTAGGGTGGTGGGTTCGAACTCGGCCCAGGTCTGCCAAGCAACAATGACAACTGCAACCAAAAAATAGCCAGGTAGTCCCAACTACTTGGGAGGCTGAGGCAAGAGAATTGCTTAAGCCCAAGAGTTTGAGGTTGCTGTGAGCTGTGATGCCATGGCACTCTACCCAGGGCAACAGCTGGAGACTCTTCCTCACTAAAATAAAATAAAATAAAAATAACAAAATCCCCAAACTACAAGATGTTGGCATGGATGCAGAGAAAAGGAAATGCTTCTGCATTGCTGGTGGGAATTCAAGCTAATATATTCCTTTTGGAAAGAAGTTTGGAAAACACTCAGGGATCTAAAACAAGACCTGCCATTTGATCCTGCAATTCCTCTACTAGGTATATATCCAAAAGACCAAAAATCACTTTGCAACAAAGATATTTGAACCAGATTGTTCACTGCAGCTCAATTCATAATTGCCAAGTCATGGAAGAAGCCCAAGTACCCATCGACCCATAAATGGATTAATAAATTATGGTATTATGGTACATGTATATACCATGGAATACTATGTAGCCTTAAAAAGATGGAGACTTTACCACTTTTATGTTTACATGGATGGAGCTGGAACATATTCTTCTTATTAAAGTATCTCAAGAATGGAAGAAAAAGTATCCAATGTACTCAGTACTTTTATGAAACCAATTTATAATTGCTCACACTTTCTTATGAAAGATAGATCACAACTATAGCCCAGGATGAATGAGAGAAGTGGAGGGGATGGGAGAGGAGTGGGAAGGTTTGATAGAGGGAGGGTAAACAGAGGGCATATTGCAATGATACAAGTCAAATCTATCAAGAATAGAACATAAATGTCTTTACACAAAATAATTAAGTAAATGAGGTGAAAGCTAAGTTGATTAGTTTGATGTAAGCACTCCAAACTGTATAAAAAACCCACACATTGTACCCCACAAATGCATAAATGTATTCATGATCTATGTGTATATGATTTAATAAAACCAAAAAAACCCATAACACCTTACCAATAAAAAAATACTGAACATTCAAATATGTTGCCATCAATTGATTTTTTATCATTTAAATACCAATTAAATCCAATCTTCAACCTTCCTATTGCTAAAAAAATATGACAGCAGTCTCAGTCTCAGAAATAGGAGCAGTAAATTTTATTACTCAGTTTTTTATTACTCAGGACAGCAGTGATGCATACATTCTGCAGTGATGTTTACATGCTTAAATTTCATCTGAAACATGAAACTTCCTGATTCCTGCAGCAGGGTTTCCATTCTTGGAGTCCTGTGTCCTTCTAGTCCTCATTTCTATCATCAGACATGTGCCTTTGCATCAAATCAGGAAAAAGCTGTGTTGACAATTACAACTTCCAGACATTCAGGCCTTAATTTGTCACAGAAAGCAATGCACTTGTTTGCATATATTAAGAAAATAATTATTTATACTTTCAAACTGAGCACTCATTTTCAGAAAAAGATAATTAAACATCTATTTCATCCATCTTCATTTAAACCAAATAAAACTATTCCCTAAGTTACCCAAGAGCAAAGATCGATACACTGAATAAGTTGCCTTACTATTCAATATGTCTGCCCACTCACCCCCCCAACACACACACACACACACACACACACACACACACAGAGACCTCCCAAAGCTGTGGCCTTAGAAATTTGACCAAATATTTAGCCTGAATAAAATTCAGTGACGATTTAATGCTCTTTGAAAAGCATGGTTACTTCTTTAATTTTACAATATAATGACTGAGACAGATTATGAAACAACTTTGGGAGAGGAAATATTTTAAGTGGGAAGTTAGAAAGTCTAAGATATAGAAAAGGAATGATAATTAAACACTAATTTCAAAATTAGGTTCAGTTCCAAAATATTTTCTTTACCAATTCAAGACTAAAACATTGGTTTTGTCCTGAAAGTCATCATTTTGTAACTTAAAGAGTAAACTGTAATAAATACAAATATCTAACAAATTATTTGGACAAGGTCAGAACAGAGGGGACCAATTTTATAATGCTATGAAACTGAGTATCATTCAAGAATCCATTTGGCCTGGTATTGTTCACTTGGTTAATCTGGAGATAAATACGTTTTTAGAATCATATTTACGTATAGGTAAGTCTTTAAATACACAATGAATAAATATTTAAATGCTATGATAAACAAGAAATGTGGAATAAGAAATCCTTATCTTTATAGCCAGCTGTATATTTACAATGAATGTTTTCTGCATGATTCCTAATCTTTGTCTATTAGAGTTTGTCAGTGTGCAATTTATACAAGGCAACAGCTCATATTACCTTAAAGAAGTCCTGTTCAGCTCAGAATCAGCCTGTCCGAGATGCTCTGCTCCCTGAAAAACTTTTACAATTGTGTGCATAAGTATCTGAGAGTACAAGTAAGTGCACATGTACAAAATGTACTTGTCTAAAGGTGAGTTAATTAGCTTGACTAATAAGAATCTAAAACCAAGAAAATGAATCGCTATTCCCCAACCCGAAAAATACATCTAATGAAAAACTGCTTAGCCCACTATGAAAGGGCAGCAGCTATAATCCAACTCATCCTACGTCATCCTCTAACCATCTAACTGTTCTGTTAATCATCCATTGGAACACTAAATCCCTTCATCTTCACAAAGTTAAATGCAGGCTTCTGATTTAACTTTACTTTCTAGTTAGAAGCCAGAATACGCAGAATAATAAAGAGCTCCTTATAGCTATGCAATATCCAAACCGCCTCATTCTACCCTTAAGAGAAGGTGTCCACATATTAATATGTATTAGTGACTTTCTTTTTTTCTTTTTGAGACAGTTTTACTTTGTTGCCCTTGGTATAGTGCTATGGCATCACAGCTCACAGCAACCTCAGACTCTTGGGCTTTAACAATTCTCTTGCCTTAGCTTCCTGAGTAGCTGGGACTACAGGCACCTGCCACAGTGCTTGGCTATTTTTATAGATGATGCCTTACTCTGACTCAGGCTGGTCTAAACTCTTAAGCTTAGGCGATCCACCCACCTTGGCCTCCCAGAGTGCTAGAACTACAGGCGTGAGCCACCATACCCGGCCTTGTTAGTGACTTTCCGATCTAAATTTCTGAGGGTTTCTATTTGAATAAGCTACATCACTGGACCACTGAGAACTTCAGTTGAAGGGAAATTACATGTGGACTGCTAACAGATTAGCAGAGAGCAAAATTAAAAACTAAATGCCGACCATGGTAGAAAGGTGATTATACACAAAAGAATGAAAAAGACTGATTGTTTATATGTTCTTTGATTTCTTTTTTCTTCTTGAGACAGTGTCTCACTGTTGCCCAGGCTGGAGTATAGTGGCATGCATGATCACAGCCCACTGCAAATTCGAACTCTAAGGCTCAAATGATCCTCCTGCCTCAGACTCCCTAATAGCTAACAGGAGCACCTGGCTAATGTTGTTTGTGTGTGGAAATGAAGTTTCACTATATTTCCCAGGCTGGTATTGAACTCTTGACCTCAAGTAATCCTCCCACCTCAGCCTCCCAAAGTGCTTATAGATGTGAGCTACACCAGCCTTGCTTTTTTTTTAAAGCAACAAGTGTAGCATTTCCTTTGATCTAAAACTGAATATTTGCTGTTTTTTTCATTCCACATCTATGAAATCCCTCACCCATCATAGCCTTTTTAAGCTTAAGAGAGAAATGAAAGAAAATGGATATGGACCACCCATTGTTTCTTATGAAAAGAGAGGCATATTCTAATAGCAATAAGGCAATGTGTTTAAGAGCTGCACCTGAACTGGTATTCTCAAAACTGAAAATAAGTTACCAACTCTATTCAACTTACAGGACATATCCATGTGCGTCCCTAGTCATTGGTTGTCACTAAATGGACCATAGTGACTCCATCATGCCTTTGGAGGCATTATAATATGAGTAGTATGCACATGTACTTTAAAGAAATGATATTAAAAAGGACAACTTTTCAAACAATAGTTCATCACATCAGTTGCAACAATGCTATATGGCTCCCTTTTCATCTCCTCATGTACCCAGATACCAAATACCTCTAAATTAAACAAAAGAGGGCCAGAGGCAAAGTTCCATATTCAATTGCATTTTTCAGATGAGCTTTCAGTTTGCTCGTTTTGAATTCCCATTTCCTGATTTACTGAGGAGTAAAGGTGAGAATCATCCAACTGATGACGAAGTAGAACAGGAAAACAGGATAAACAGCAAGGGCTTTACGGTTTGGAGGTTGGCTATCAGCAAGAAAAGCTGTAGAGGCTAAAGAAAACAAGACACAACAAAAAACAATATTTAATAGAATAATATTCTCACATGTACTAACATTTACAAAACTTTAACATGCTTGGCATAATAAGAAACACAGAATGATACTAAAAGTTCAGTTATATTTCTGCCCTCAGACAAAAAGGCATTCTGCAGTAGTTTTTCAGACAGCTGAGTGCTTCCTATTTCAAGTACGAAAGCTTTAAAATTTTCCAATCAGGGCAGTGCCTGTGGCTCAGTGGGTAGGGCATTGGCCACATATACTGAGAGTGTCAGGTTCAAACCTGGCCTCAGCCAGCTAAAACAGCAGTGGCAACTGCAACAAAAAATAGCCGGGCATTGTGGCGGCTACTTGGGAGGCTGAGGCAAGAGAATCACTTAAGCCCAAGAGTTTGAGGTTGCTGTGAGTTGTGATACCATGGCACTCTACCAAGGGCGACAAAGTGAGACTATCTCAAAAAAAAAAAAATCTAATCATTTTGGATAGAAACTTTTCTGAAAGGAGTTTCTTTTCTTTCTTCCTTTCTTTTCTCTCTCTCTTTTTTTTTTTAAGACAAAGTCTCACTTTGTTGCCCTAGGTAAAGCGTCATAGCATCACAGCTCACAACAACCTCAAACTCTTGCACTCAAGTCATCCTCCTGTCTCAGCTTCCCAAGTAGCTGGGACTACAAACACCTACAACACTCGTAATTTTTTTTGAGAGACAGGGTCTTGTTCAGGGTGATCTAGAACTACTGAGCTCAAGCAATCCACCCACCCCAGACTCCCTGAGTGCTAGGATGGCAGGCATGAAACACTGTACCTGGCCTAAAAGGGGTTTCTTAACCTGTCCTGAAAAGCTACTAAACTGTGATAAACAGGGAAGGATGTGTAAGGTTTATCATGCCTATGGTAAGTGGCCTCATACTGCTGCATTTTTTCAGTTACTTGTTGTTCTTAAGATATCAGTGCTTTTTTTTTTTTTTTTGAGACGGAGTATCTGTTGCCCTAGAATTCAGATGTCCTCAAACTGAGGCCTGCCAAGGACTTTTATCCGGCCCGCCGGGTGTTTTTGCCACCACTGCCTGTCCCGCTTAGCAGCCGACTCATCCCAGGGCCTGCAGTCCGGCCTTCCAACAGTCTGAGGGACAGTGAACTGGCCCCCTGTTTAAAAAGTTTGAGGGTCCCTGCGTGGCACTGTGTCATCTTAGCTCACAGTAATCTCCAACTCTTGGGCTCAAGTAATCCTCTTGCTTCAGCCTCCTGAGTAGCTGAGACTACAGCTACCTGCCATGATTCTCAGCTATTTTTTTCTATTTTTAGTAGAGACAGAGTCTCAAGACAGCTCAGGCTGGTTTCAAACTCTGGAGCTCAGGGGACTGACCTGCCTTGGCCTCCCAGAGTTCTAGGATTATAGGCATAAGCCACTGTGCCTGGCCTAAGATATCAGCTCTTTTAAATGCCATTCCTCTCTTGCCCACTAAGGAAAAACCTAGTTATATTTTTCCTCATCAAGAATCACCCCTCTAGGAAATCTTGCCACCCCAGGCAGAAACTGCCCACTTCTCGCTTCTGTGTTCTCACTGTATAGACTTCTATCTCCCATCTGGAACACCTATTGCCCTTGCCTTAAGTGTTTTTATGTGTGGCTGCTCTGTTAGATTGGAAACTCCAGGGACAGAGACAATGCCTAGTACCGCACCTAACAAATAGTTTGTGATTAATATTTGCTAAATTAAAGTCTCTCTCTCCTAAGATTCTACTTTCTGATCTACTGTGGGCCTGGCCACTACTAGATAACTAAGCTAGTTAGAAGTACATGTGTGGCAATTATCAGACTCTAAGTGAGGGAAGGAGGGGCTTTCTCATCAGTAAAGCACCCAAGCATAACACATATATCATCTGTGGAATATCAATTCTGGCTCTCTCAGGCCTTTTCTGGATTACTTCTTGGCTTTCAACCATATTTCAGAGCAATGAGATGTTATTAAACATAAAAATATTAGGCAGTCTATCTATCTCATTAAATCGTAAGCTAGTGAACACTACTAGTTTAAGCTGGAATTTTAAGAGAATGTTAGGAATGTAAAAATAATGACCACAGAACATTCACTGCCACTGCTATAGGCTCCTTCTAATCTCTTATTTTTTAGAGACAGGGTCCAGACAGGATCTCACTTTGCCATCCAGGCTGGAGTACAGTGGTCTGATGATAGCTCACTGTAACCTGGAACTCCTGGGCTCAAACATTCCTCTGACCTCAGCCACCTGTGTAACTTTCCAATCTTTAGCAAAATGTGTTACTGAAGCAGAAAAATGCTACATGAGACTTATAACATACATTGGTAAGTGGTACACTCATATTTCTCAAAAGTGCATAATCTGCTTGGGTTTGAAATCTGACTCCCCTAGTCACTAGTTACATGTCCTAGGACAAGGTCTTTAACAACTCTATGACCATTTCTCATCTATAAATAGGGCTAATAATAGTATTTATCTATTAGGCTGGGTGCAATGGCTCAGGCCTGTAATCCTAGGACTCTGTGAGCCAAGGCAGGCATATTGCTTGAGCTCAGGAGACTGAGATCAATCTGAGCTATAGCAAGATCCTGTGTCTAAAAATAGGCAGACGTTGTATCTACCAAGGGTGAAAAAGTGACACTCTGTCTCAAAAGATATATATATAGTATTTAAGGTAGTTGTGAGGGTTAAATGAGATATATATATATAGATATATATATATAGAGAATTCACAACAGTACCTGACTATAATAGGCAATCCATAAATATTATTATTTTTATTATGATTAGTTTGTTGGGAAAAGTTCCACGTCATCTCACAACTTACCTATGCCCATATATACCAGGACTGAGCAGAGTCTACTGTAATCTACTTTCAAATCCTGCCCATTATTTAAGAAAAAATAAAAATGTGACTCTCCGCATCTTCTAAGTCTAGATATTCAATTCAAATAAGGTAGAGACCATCCCCATCAATGACTGCTTAGTACAGAGGGTTATATGGATGATACTAGCAAGAAGTGCCATCACTCACACCTGACTCTGAAGTTATACTTCTCCTCAACTGGACCTCACTTTTAACTCAGGTTTTTGTTCTATTTTGCTGTTTTAGAGATAAGTACATACTTACCAACTATAGACCAGGCAAACATCACGATCACCACAAAAAGTCGAACCATGAAGTTTACTGGTCCTGGTTCAGCCAAAAGTACTAGCCGACAAATCAGCATTGCCACTGTCAAGGGAAGTATACAGTAACCCAGGACACAGAGGCTCTGAAAAAATGATCTAAAAACAAAATATATCCATAAAGATCATTAAGTACAATTGATGTGTATCAAGACAAAGCCTACTGCACAGATTTCTATGCATTGCAGATTGTTGCCTTCATCCTGATACAAAATGTCTATACTCTAACATTCCATTCTTTTTCTCTTCATATTCTTCCTCCTCCTCTCTCTCTTCAATCCCTAAAAGGAGTGCCAGTTCCATCTCTCTAATACCAGATAATCTGCTCTAATTCTTAGAGACCACTTTCTCTCACTGATCTTCTAACAAAGTAGTTCTGAATCCTATGCTAGTTTATAGACCTATCAGAGAATTTGCTGAAAGCTGTGGACCACTTGTCTCCCAAAATGTAAATAATCCTCTAACAAATAATTCTACCTGTGATTTCAGGGGCTGAGGAGAGCATCTGAAGCTTGTCCAAGGACCCTGCATAATTTAAAATTCAGTTAGGTTGTCTGTGTTCAGTGCTAACAATTTTTTGTTGTTATAGTTGGGTTTTTTTTTTTGGCCGGGCTGGATTTGAACACACCATATCCGGCATATGGAGCTGATGCCCTACTCCTTGAGCCACAGGTGCCACCCTCAGTGCTAACAAGAGAACTTTCTCTTAGACCCTCTTTTAGATTGATTTTTCTTTTCTTGCAGTTTTTGCCTGGGGCCGTGTTTGAACCCACCACCTCTGGTATATGGGGCCAGTGCCCTACTCCTTTGAGTCACAGGCACCGCCCAGCTTGATTTTTCTTTTAAAAAGTATCTAACTAGCCTGGATTCAGATCATGCCTATAATTTGAGCACTCTTGAGAGGTCGAGATGAGTGGACTACTTAAGCTCAGGAGTTAGAGACCAGCCTGAACAAAGCAAGACCCTGTCTCTACTAAATATAGAAAAAATTAGCAGGAACCTGAAATAGTCCCACTTACTCAGGAGGCTGAGGCAGAAGGATTCCTTAAACCCAGGAGTTTGAGGTTGCTAAGCTGGGTTAATACCACTTATATTCTACCTTGAGTGTGTGAGACTCTTGTCTCAAAAGAAAAAAAATAAAAACTAAGACATGCCACCAGATGCAATGGCTCATGTCTATACTTTTGGAGGCTAAGGTGGGAGGAATCACTTGAGGCCACTAATTTTGGATTTTTATATTTTTTGTAGAGACAAGGTCATGAGTTAGAGACCAGCCTGAGCAAAGCAAGACCCTGTCTCCACTACAAATAGAAAGTTTTCATGATAGCTCATGCCTGTAAACCTAGCACTCTGGGAGGCCGAGGCAAGCGGATTGCTTGAGCTCATGAGTTCAAGACTAGCCTGAGCAAAAGCGAGACCCCATCTCCAATAAAAATAGAAAAACTGAGGCAAGAGGATTGCTTGAGCCTGAGAGCTGGAAGTTACTGTGAGCTACGACACCATGGCACTCTACCCAGGGTGACAACTTGAGACTCTGTCCCCCCCCCCAAAAAAAAATAGCTGGGTGGGTATGGTGGCACAAACCTGAAATCCCATCTACTCAGGAGGCTAAGGTAGGAGGATGACCTGAACCCAGGAATTTAAAGTTACAAGGATCTATGATGATGCCACACTACACTCTAGTTCAGGCAACAAAATGAGATCCTGTCTCAAAAAAAAAAAAAAAATCCAATATATGCTACCTAGCAAGAGAAAAAGAAGGGTATATTTTAATGATACTCACATGTTTCCTCCAAGAAGTTTTGAGTTTAGGGTGATGGTAACTGCACCAAACCAGACAATGACAAACACTTCTGCAAACTGGGGCCCTCCATCTTTTTCGCTATCTGCAGAGCCTCTTTGTAGCATTCTAAGGCAAGGAAACAGCATAAGAATTCCCTAATCTTTTACTTAGAGCAACAAAATTAAGGCATGAATTCTTAAACTTTGAATCAGATTGCTTCACTATACCTAATGTGAAGATCTGTGGTATGTAGGTAGTGCTAAAAGGAAAATGTCAGAAGCATTTGGCAAGGCTCCCTTACTTCAAATTCCAAATGCCTCAAGACTACAAGGGGTACTAAATTTGTCTTTGTTGGGATATTTAAATGGATTACTGAAGACCTTTTTAGTTTAAGCAGAGTTTATAAACTAAGGGGCAAAATGTAGCTCACAGACATAACATTTTTAGTTTATGTAATACTTAATATGGTTTTAAATTTCAGTTGACATTGAAAGGTTTCACATAAGGATATATACTTCTGGCCAGGCGCAGTGGCTCACGCCTGTAATCCTAGCAATCTAGGAGGCCAAGGCAGGTGGACTGCTTGAGCTCACCAGTTTAAGACCAACCTGGGCAAGAGCTAGACCCTGTCTCTACTAAAATAAAAATAAAAATAAAAAATCTAGCCTGGTGTAATGGCAGGTGCCTGTAGGACTAGCTACTCAGGAAGCTGAGGCAAGAGGATCTGTTAAGCCCAAGAGTTTAGGGTTGCAGTACCACAGTATTCTACCCTGGACAACAGAGAAAGTCTCAAAAAAAAAAAAAGAATATATATTTCAGGATTTACTTTCTAATGCTAAGCCTACGTTCCAACATGGACAACAACCACGTGCAGCTGACAAAGCAGCAAGTAAGGGGTTTACAAAGTCATTACTGCATGCATTTGGGTTTTTTCTAGGCTTTAGACACATCTAGATTTGTAGTTCTTTTTTTTTTTTTTTTTTT